CCTGGTCAGCAAGGAGCCTGTGCCCGAGCTCCAGCCCCAGCCTGAGCCTGGGACACAGGAGGCTCTTTGCCAGCTCAAGCAGGACCAGCCCAGCCCGTGCCTGAGCAGCGCTGAGGACTCTGGGGTAGATGAGGGCCAGGGGAGCCCTTCCGAGGTGACACACGCCTCTGAGTTCAGGTGAGGGACAGTTGTGGCTGGTAGGGGACCCCGCCAGTCCTTGACCTCCCAGTGAATTAAGTCCAGCTCCCGGAGGACCCAGCCCCGTGTGGGAGGTGGGAAGACACGTGATCTCCCCACCCAGCCTGACCCTCGTCCTCCTGACACTTGTCCCTCTCACAGAGTGGACAACAATCACTTGCTCCTGCTGATGATCCACGTGTTTCGGGAAAACGAAGAGCAGCTCTTCAAAGTAAGTCTAGGGGACTCAGGAGCCAGCGAGACCCAGCAAGGGCCAGGCAGATGGCCTGAGCCTGCCCAGAAGGCGAGGATCCAGGCCTGCCCCTGACCTCTGTCTGCCTGGCCCCCAGATGATCCGGATGAGCACTGGGCACATGGAGGGCAACCTGCAGCTGCTGTTCGTGCTGCTCACGGACTGCTACGTCTACCTGCTCCGGAAAGGTGCCTGCCGCCCCAGACGGAGAGCGGGTTGAGGTTGAGACCCCTGTTCCCCAGCCGTCGCCCCCTCCAGTGGCATGTAGGAGTGGAAAGAGGGTGTGGCTGGCTGAGGTGGGCCTGACCCCGCCACTCGCACCCATGTCATTCTCTTGCTCCGTCACTTCAGGTTGCAGGGCAAGGAGGGGTCCTCTTTGCCAGGGGTCAGCCCTTAGAAAATGGGGCCCGGAGGGACAAGAGGCCAGAGGGGGTAATAGGCATTGGGGTCTCCTCTCTCAGGGGCCACAGAGAAGCCATACCTGGTGGAAGAGGCTGTTTCTTACAATGAACTTGACTATGTGTCGGTGAGTTCAGGCTCCGAGTTGGTGGACCACCATAGACGCAGGGCTTCCTGGGCCACCCACCCTGAGAGCCCAGAGCAGGGCCCGTCCCAAGGATGGGCACCAACCTGACTCTCAGAGAAGCTTCTGTACACGTGCTGGGGACAAGAGCTAAGCACGAGGCCTGGCTGCCCGCAGCTCCTGCGGGGCTCTGTCTGAAGGCCTCACTGGTGGCCACCCTGGGTGCCCCCTCCCTCCCTGCCCTTGCCAGGCTGCCTGGCTGCACTGCCTCCTCCACCAGGCAGCGGCCAAGCCCGTGTGGTTTCTGGCAGGTTGGCCTTGACCAGCAGACGGTGAGGCTGGTGTGCACCAATCGCAGGAAGCAGTTTCTGCTGGACACAGCTGACGTGGCCTTGGCTGAGTGAGTGTCGGCCCCGCCCCCGGGACGGAGAGCCAGCACCTGCCGTTGCGGGGCCTGGCATGGGGTGGAGACATCAAAGTGAAAACAAGTGTGTCCTCTCCGGAGCCCACAGTCTGGACAGAGAGGCAGGACAGTAGACGGTCACTGACCCACCACTCATGTGGCAGCCTAGGTGTTCTCAGTGCCTTGTGCCCTGCAGAGGGCAGAGGGACTGGCATGAGCATCTGACGGGGAGGAAGGCGGGGCCCTGCTGGCCAGGGCCTGCCCGCCAGTACATGGAAGTCACATGCATGAAGTCACGTCACGGCACCAACTCGAGGTCCCTCATTCAAGTCCCGCTGGTAGCATCTCGGGTCTTCCTCCTCTGCCAAGATCCAAGGCCCTGGGCTGTTAGGAAAGGGTCAGGCCTTTTCTGGTCACTGTTGGATGAGCACAGACCCAGCCACATCATTGCCCCAAAAGGCCCTGAGCGCTGCGTGGGCCAGGCCCCTTCCCCACATTTCTGTGACCCCTCCAGGTCAGGAGCTCTCAGGACGAAGCCTGTCCCCAGGCCTCTGACAACCCACTCCCTGTGCAGGTTCTTCTTGGCCTCTCTGAAGTCAGCCATGATCAAGGGCTGCCGGGAACCACCCTACCCCAGCATCCTGACCGATGCCACCATGGAGAAGCTGGCACTGGCCAAGTTCGTGGCCCAGGAATCCAAGTGTGAGGTGAGTGGCTGGAGAGGATGCTCGTGTAGTCCACGGGGGCCAGTGGTGGCCAGCCTTGGTGCTCGAGACACGTGAAGCAGGTGATGCTTTGGCATCTCTTGGTCACTTCCTCCCCCTCCCCGTCCTGTGCCTCTCTCTCAGCGGGTACTCCTGACACTGTGCCATGGTTGAGCTCAGGCCTGGCCCAGCTGCCTGCCTGGCCTTGCTCACTCTGTCCTCCGCCCCCACCCCCAGGCATCCACTGTGACTGTGCACTTCTATGGGCTTGTGCACTGGGAGGACCCCGCGGATGAGTCTCTGGGCCCTGTCCCCTGCCGCTGCTCACCCCCTGAGGGTGCCATCACCAAAGAAGGCATGCTGCACTACAAGGCGGGCACCTCCTACCTGGGCAGGGAGCACTGGAAGACCTGCTTCGTAGTGCTCAGGTGGGAGCCCTGGGCTCTGCGCGCCGGCTCAGGCCAGGGCATCAGGCTGTCGGGTCCCCAGCAGGGACCCCTGCAGCAGTTCACTGGGGAGAGAGTTCTGAGGGAGGCGTCTCCCCTCTACAGGGCCCTGGGTGGACACCGTCCAGAGCTGTAGGGCTTCTCTATAAAGCCAGTGAGTGAGCTGGGCCCAGGAGTGCCCCATGCCTCCGCTGGGGACCAGGGCCAGCCACGGAGGGCCTGCCCCTGCCCAGGTCCACTGAGGCAGTGCTCTCCGCTGTCCCTCTCCGACTCCTTTCATCCTCCCTCCTGGAAAGCAGGCCTAGCTTCCTTTGCCTTTGGGATTATGGCTAGTCTGGGGGCCCTGGGACATGGAGCCCGCCCCCTTTGGCCAGGCTCACCGCCACTGTGTGTGTCCCTGCAGCAATGGCATCCTCTACCAGTACCCTGACCGCACCGACGTCATTCCCTTGCTCTCCGTCAACATGGGGTGAGTGTCACTGCCTGAGGGCGTCAAGGCTAAGCCTGAGACCTTCCCATTTCCCCTGTGAGGTGTCTGTCCTCAGCCCCGTCCAGCTGCTCTGACTGGTGCCCTGGGGTTTGCCCACTTTGAGGCTGAGGGCAGCCCACAGGAGGCAGGGCAGAGACCGAGCGGTGCTGCCTGCCTGGAGAGGGTGCGTCTGCAGGGGGAGCTGCAGCCTGGTGGGGACAGGCCCCCGGAGGGGGAGGGAGGGCGAGCAGGGCAGCTTCGCCATGGGGAGCTCGGCTGACGGGTCCTCTCCCTCACCTGGCCGCATGTGGGTGTCCAGAAAGGACTGGCAATTCTGGGGATGCAAGGGTGGGGCTGTCAGCACCAGAGGGCCTGGGCAGCCTTCCCATGTCCCCAGGGCCCCGTTCCTGCCACCCGCCTCCTCGCCCCCAGTTCACCCTCCTCCTCTGGCCCAGGGGGGAGCAGTGCGGTGGCTGCCGGAGATCCAACACCACGGATCGGCCCCACGCCTTCCAGGTCATTCTCGCCGACCGGCCCTGCCTGGAGCTGAGCGCCGACAGCGAGGCCGAGATGGCCGGCTGGATGCAGCACCTCTGCCAGGCCGTGTCCAAGGGGGTGAGCGTCTCCCCCACCTCGCCTGCCTGACCACGCAGGACCCCAGGGGCCCATCCCCGCACGCAACACCAGCCCCGGGCAGCCCCGGAGGACACAGCTAGGGGACCCAGGGGACATCTCAGGAACAGACCTGGAGCTCAGAGTCCCCTGTGGACTGGACCACCTGTCCCACCCTCCTCCCCACCCACACTCCTGAGGTGGGCAGAACCTGCTGGACCCTGCAGGGAGGGCAGAGAACCAGCCGGGCCTCTGGGCTGGGCACTCTGGACACGCAGCCGCCTCTCCACCTCTGCCAATGCCTCAGGTCATCCCCCAGGGAGTCGCCCCCAGCCCCTGCATCCCCTGCTGCCTGGTGGTTGCCGAGGACCGCCTCTTCACGTGCCATGAGGATTGTCAAACCAGTTTCTTCCGCTCCCTGGGCATGGCCAGACTGGCCGACATCAGCGCCGTCTCCACTGAGCCAGGCAAGGAGTACTGCGTCCTGGTAAGTGGGGCGGGCGGCGGGGAGGGGCCTGCCGGGGTGCGGCCAGGTGCTCATGCACGCTCTCCCTAGGAGTTCTCCCCGGAGGGCCCGCAGCCCCCTGCCCCCTGGGTCATCTACCTGAGCTGCACTTCTGAGCTGGACCGGCTCCTGTCTGCACTGAGCTCCGGGTGGAGAGCCATCTACCAGGTACCCAGCTGCCCAGAAGCCCCAGCCACTCCCAGGACCTGACCTTCCCTCCAGGATCCTGAGGACAGCAATGTGCCAGCACTCTGGGACAGGGACAGGGACAGACACTTAGGGCCAGAGGAGCAGAGCCCTGGCTTCTAGTGAGGCTGGGGTGAAAGCTGAATGCAGGTCCAGGAGCTGCCTTTCCTAACCCGGCTCCAGTCACAGTGCTCACGGTGGATCTGGAGCTGTGACAGGCTGGGCACAGGAGGGGCAGGACCCTCACCTGCCCTGCAGCTCACCCCAGAGTGAGAGGAGTTCACTGGCCTGGAGCCGGGGACTGTCCCGCCTGCACTGAGCCCACACAGGCTGGCCTGAGTCAGAGAAGGGCTCAGACAGAGGTTCGCCAGGCAGCATTGCTGGGAGCACAGGGCCACCTCCCTGGCCACCAAGGAGAGAGGTCTTCCCAGGACGAGGTGGTCGGGCAGCACCCCATCAGCTCAGGCCCTCCCCAGAGTGCAGGAGGATCTGGCAGCGTGGAAGCGGTTCCCTGGGAGAGGTGTGGAGGGACTGCTGGGGGAGGCCTGATAGGCGTCCATGGCCAAGGCTGAGCCCCGGAGTCCTGTGGCCCCTGGGAACATGGAGCCTGCAGCCCTCAGTGGTCCTTCTTGCCCCAACCCAGGTGGACCTCCCACACAAGACCATCCAGGAAGCCTCCAACAAGCAGAAGTTTGAGGATGCCCTGAGCCTCATCCACAGCGCCTGGCAACGAAGTGATAGCCTCTGCCGTGGCCGAGCCTCCCGGGACCCCTGGTGCTAAGGCAGCTGGGTGGTGTCCCAGGAAGTCGGGGAAGTGGAGGCAGGCTGACCAGCAGGCTCAGGGTCGAGGTCATTGTGCTGCTTCGGAGCCAGGTCTCCACGCACGTTCTTAGCCCACTCCTGCCCCAGGTGGCAGAACCACCCAGCTTGAGGCAGGATTGTCCGCTCCCAGGGATCCAGAATGTGCCCAACACACCTGGGTGTCCTGCCCAATGGGTAGTGGCTAGAGGCTACTGGGGACAGAGGATCTCTGAACCAGGCAGGTTCTGCAGACACAAGCTGTCCTCCCAGGGCAGGACCTCAGGATGGTGACAAGAGGAATGTCCATCTACAGAGGAGTGGAAGGACCAGGAGGCGGGAGCTCCCCGCCCCAGGTCAGGGGCCTGGGCAGAGGCTCAGGGCCCCCGGGTCCTGAGTGCCCAGCCACCCTTGTTCATTTTTGAACATTCTCCTGGCTGTGCGGGGAAGCTGGAGCACCAGGTGTCTGCGCATGCTCCCTCTCACTAACCTACCCCATGCACAGCCGCCCGCCTCACAGAGCCCAGCCCAGGCCACCAGGCGCCCTGCATGCCGTGGCCCTGACCACCTCCCCCACCTCAGCAGAGCCTGCAGAACCCAGGGATCAGGTGGCTCCTTTGGCCAGGAGCAAAGAGGAGGGCGGGAGAGACTGGGAGAAGAGCAGGACCCACCACACGCTGAATCTCCCAACTGTCCCCTGCTTGGCTGGGGCCTGGGGCTTCCTGAGCATCTTTGTCCAGAGTCCTGGGGAAGGGGTCAGGTGGTGTGGGTTTTGTTTTTTTTAAATAAAATAGACATGTTATATTGCCAAGACTCGTCACTGGCCCTTTTTGAGCAAGGTACGTAGGGTCGTCTCCAAACCCTCCTCTTCTGCAACATGCCTGTCACCCATCAGTCGCGGCTTCCCCCACGGGTGCTCACCATCCAGAAGTGTGCAGCCCAAGGACTCTCGGCCTGACTCCCAGGAGGAGGGGCTGGGACAGTGGGCAGGTCCTCCTGGCCAAGTGACTGCAACCACAGGTCACTCCTCAAACAATGCCCTTCTTTTTTTATCTCCATCGCACCCAGGGGCCCTGATGTCTTGGGGTGGGCAGGGGCGTGGGGCCGCCTTATTACTGAGTGCAGTGCAGCGCTAGCTGTTCCACCTTTGCCCTCCAAAGGTCCCTCTGGAGCAGGCCATCAGTGAAGCAGTCCCCCCATCTGAGGTGTCGCCTCCCACAGTTCAGTTATCCGAGATCGAAACTACAGATTGAAAACTATTACACAGGCTGGGTGCAGTGACGCAAGTCTGTGATCCCAGCTACTCAGGAGGCTGAGAGAGGAGGATCACAAGTTCAAGACCAGCCTCAGCAGCCTAGCAAGAGCCTATTTCAAAATTAAAAATACGACTGGGGATGATGGTCAATGCTAGAGCACCCCTGGGTTCAATCCTCAGGACTAGCAAATAGGAAAATATCAAAGGGATAAATGTTCTTCAGTTTTATGCTGTGCACCATTCTGAGGAGGGTGAAGGCTCCTCCCTCTGTCCCGAGCATACCTGTGCTGTACACTCACTTCCCACAGTGGCTTTGTAGTTGCCTTGGTTTTCAGATGGCCTGAGGCGGTAGAGCGGCATTTTGTGTTCAAGTAGCCCTTAATTTACTTGATGGTAGCCCCAAAGCTCAAGAGTAGTGATAGCTGGCAATTTGGACATGCCAAAGAGAAGCCATGAAGTGCTTCCCTTGAATGAGAAGGCGCGGTGCCAGCATGGCTCAGGGACAGCGTGCTGTCAGGCTTGCAGGAGCCCCGTCCATGCCAGGCACCACACACACACACACACACACACACACACACGTGAAATAGCTCTGCAGGGCTCCAGACTCCTGTCTTTCCCTTTGCTCTTGCTGAAGTTGGGACCATAGGTCGCAGGAGCCAGATTGGGATACTGAGGCCTGGAAGGGGAAGTCACACAGACCCCAGAATAGAGATAGAAGAGCTACCTAACCGGCGCTCACACCCCATGCCAGGAGTCTCCCAGGACACCTGCCTCGTGCCTGGGGCTCTGAGCTGGAGCAGGACGGGCCTAGAGGGGGCCAGGAAGACGATTGGGCCGGAGGAGGTGCCCTGCTAGTGGGCAGCTTTGCCCCGCCTCCACTCTCCTTCCAGTCCCAAGTGAACTTTCCCCCAGATCCCAGGGTCCAGCCCCGCCCCAGCCAGAGCAGGCCGGGATTGGTTGGAGCTGGAGGGGGCGTGTTCTGGGCTCCAACAGACCCTGGTCTGCGGAGCAGGCTGAGCAGGTGGATTTCAAGATAGACCAAGGGCGAACCGCAGCTGCCGGACATACCGGGAACTGTCCTCTAGACATGGCCCCGAACCCCCTCGGTCCCCAGTCCTGTGGTCCAGCAGGGGTGCAGACAGCCTAAACACCGCCACCCTATGGCTCACGCCTCACCCCTGACCCAGGCTCAGCCGGCTGGCCCGGAGGCCGAGGAGACGGTGCCCCCGGCCGTGGACCTGGTGCTGGGCGCCTCGGCCTGCTGCCTGGCCTGCGTGTTCACCAACCCCCTGGAGGTGGTGAAGACGCGGCTGCAGCTGCAGGGGGAGCTGCAAGCCCGGGGCACCTACCCGCGGCCCTACCGGGGTCTCATGTCCTCTGTGGCTGCTGTGGCGCGCGCAGATGGGCTGAGGGGCCTGCAGAAGGGGCTGGCCGCCGGCCTCCTCTACCAGGGCCTCATGAACGGTGTCCGCTTCTACTGCTACAGCCTGGCAGGCCAAGCTGGCCTCACCCAGCAGCCAGGTGGCATCGTGGTCGCTGGCGCTGTGGCTGGGGCACTGGGAGCCTTCGTGGGGAGCCCTGCCTACCTGGTGAGTGCCTGCTCTCCACACTGGGACTCGATCCCACAGGGACTTTGCAGTCACCTGGGCTTTGTGGCCCCGCTGGGGTGGGGCAAGCTGGGTGGGGCTGCTGCCTGGGAATATCTGGCCCAGGCCTGGAATCCGTCCCTTGCCCTGACCCTTGCTCCCCTGGGGTCCCTACACTGCTGCTCCTGAGCCAAGGAAGGGGGCAGAGGGTGGCAGTACATGTGCCAGCTCAAACCTGGCTCGGTCCTGTTTCCTCTGCATGGCCTGGTGTGAGGTAAGAATGAGAGCTGACACTGGGTGAGGCCTCCTGTCCTGGGCACTCTGCAGTCACCATGTCACTCAGTCTTCCAGGAGTGACAAAACCTGGTCCCAGAGAAGGTTAAGTGACTTGTCCTGAGTCCCACCAAGATGCAACACAGGCAGACTGGAGTCTCGCCCTCGAGCCCAGGATGTACAGGCCAGGGTGTAGCAACCAGGGACACCTGGGTTTCGGGGACACACTGCAGAGGCCCCTCCCATGGCCAGTTGGCATTGCAGGCTCTGCCCCCTGCTCCCGTAGGTCAAGACACAGCTGCAGGCGCAGACGGTGGCTGCGATGGCAGTGGGGCATCAGCACCAGCACCAGGTGAGCCCCGGGCCCTGGACTCCCTGGGCCGTTCCTGCTCCAGGCCGGGCGGAGCTGACCAGGGACCTCCCACCCTCTCCCCGCAGAGCGTCCTGGGTGCCTTGGAGACCATCTGGCGGCAGCAGGGCCTGCCGGGGCTGTGGCGGGGCGTGGGGGGCGCTGTGCCCCGAGTGATGGTGGGCTCGGCCGCCCAGCTGGCCACCTTTGCCTCCGCCAAGGCCTGGGTGCAGGAGCAGCAGGTGAGGGCTGGGACTCCTGGGCCTACCGGCACAGACAGGAGTGGGAGGGCCACCCACCTCCGTCCCCACAAGAAGTGCAGGGTGGTGACAGATGGGGCCCCTTGAGGAAGCTGGGAGCCCTGGCTCTGCCATCATGTTGTGACCCTGACCCTTGGGCCCAGCAGGAGTTGAGGGCAGTGTGACCCTGAGGCTGTGAAGGAGCTCAGGTGTTGGGGGCATGGCCTCCTCCCTGACCAGCCCCTCCACCTTGTGTGCTGGGGGTCACCATGTGGGTGGATGAGGGTGGCGGCTGGGGTCAGAAGTCTGTGCTGTCCCCACAGTGGCTCCCAGAGGACAGCTGGCTGGTGGCCCTGGCTGGAGGCATGATCAGCAGCATAGCGGTGGCTGCTGTCATGACCCCCTTCGACGTGGTCAGCACGCGGCTGTACAATCAGCCTGTGGATGGAGCTGGCAGGGTGAGCAGGGAACGGGGTTGGGGAGGATGTGGGGAGCTGGGATCAACCCCCCGATACACACAGGCACAGCAGAGCCTGGGGGACACATGTGGCACACACGCATGTCACCTGGGCTTGTTTGATGAGCAGCTGTGTCGCCAAGCACTTCAACATCCAGCTATTATTCTTTTTCCTGAAGAGGAAATTGAGGCTCAGAGAGGTCAAGTGATTTGCCTGCAGTCACTCAGCTGCTAAGTGGGAGACTTGGGATTGGAATCATGGTCTTCCCAGGGCACTGCCAGTGTCACAGATGTGCCCAAAACCAGGGTGCCCGTGTGCCTCTAGACAGGCTGAGAGCCCTGGCAGCGGGCTGTGTCTGCCTGAAGGAAGAGGCCTCCTTCCTAATGTCACAACCTACAGCGTCACCTTTCCGCGCCTGCCCCGCTGGGGACCATGCATTCTGATGTACCAGCAGAAGCCCTGGACACACAGACATGCCAGTTTGCCAGTTGTGCCAGCTGGGGCCTCACAGCCCTTACAGTGACCCGTCCATGTCCATCCACAGGGCCAGCTGTACGGGGGCCTCGCAGACTGCCTGGCGAAGATCTGTCAGCAGGAGGGACCCTTGGCGCTCTACAAGGGCCTGGGCCCTGCCTATCTGCGCCTGGGTCCCCACACCATCCTCAGCATGCTCTTCTGGGACGAGCTGCGGAAACTGGCCCGGCGGGGGGCCCAACACCAGGGCACCTAGGCCTCGTCCCTCACCCCCCAGCCTGCCACAGTCTGGCACTTGGCCAGAAGTGACGTCCTTCCTCCATGAGACCGGCCATCCCAGAGCAGACCACAGGCCCGGCCCTGCCACAGGTGGGGGCAGCGTGTGGACAACGGTGGCCAACCCAGCACCCGCTCAGAGTGGCCCCTGTCCTTCTCTCTGAGTCCCGGCAGACTGCAGCCCACGCCCTGTTCATTGTGAATGACCAGGATGAGCAGCACCGAGCCGAGTGACCGAACTGTCTCGGCCCCTGGGTCCCCAACAGCAGCGAGTCCAGCGAACCCTCCTTCACTTCTGCGGCTGAGACTGGTGTGCGGGACGTGGGGCCCCACGTGCGGGGTCCCAGGGCGGTTCACTAGGGCTGCCCTGAAGGGGCCACGGACTCAGGGGCTTGAAATGGGAAATCCTTTTCTCCCACCTGGAGGCCTGAAGTCTGAGATCGCAGGGCCGCCGCTTGGTCCTCCTTCCCCTCCACGCTGGGGTGGGAGCCCAGGGCCTGCACCACGTCCCATCCCAGGCCTGGTTCTCCTGACCTCTCCCCCTGGCTAGAAGCCAACTGCCATCTCCCTGGGTCCCGCATAGGTGTCCCCTGGTGTAACTGTGTCCTCATGTCCTCTTACAAGGACGCAGGTCACATTGCTCTCGGGCCCACTCTAGTGACCTCACCTTTACTAAAGGATGATTAGCCCTGTCTGCACTGCAGGCCCATCCCAAGGTCCTGGGGGTGGGACCTCAGAGTCTGCATGGGGCCAGGGGACAGGGACGCGATTCAGCCCAGACCTCACCTGAGAGCTCGCGCTGAGACCCCGCAATTGCACATGTTCAGATGATTCCGAAAGGACGTTCAGGGAGCCCGTGGTTCAGACCAGGAGGCTGAGGCCCAGGAAAGGGATGGCTGCCCAGGTGAGTGGCGGGCACAGCCAGGGACAGGGCCAACAGCAGGCCCCGGCCTTTCCTCCAGCGGCAGCCACACTCCTGCCACAGGCCTGAACTGACCTTGGTACTCCAAGGGAACCCCAGCTCCCTGGCCGGCAGGACTGGCCTGGTTGGTGCAGCCTCCCCGGCCTCCCTGGCCTCCCCTGCCACACCTGGGTGTGAAGAGCGGGCCCTGGAGGCAGCCCCACTGCACACTCCAAACAATAAAGTTTTCTACTTTGTTTACCTCAAGGACTTCCTCCACCACAGCCTCAGTTGCCCCACCCCTGAGTCCCCACCAGGGCTACCCGCTCCCATCTGGGAAGGGAGCCCAAGAAGAGTTTCCAGTGGCCAGCCCCACCCTGCCCGGCCAGGCAAGGCTGCCACCTAGTGGACACAGGGGGAACATCAGGATGGGCAGCCTGGGGCCCAGGCAGGGGAGGGTTCAGCCAGGGGAGGGCTCAGGCAGAGGAGGGCTCCGGCAGGACCCCCGGCTCACGCTGCCAGAGATTGGAGGCCACCCCCTGAAAGGGCAGAGCCAGAGCTGAGGCTTCAGGAAGCTGGGCTACCCGCTCTCGTGGGAAAGCCACAGAGCCCAGCTCAGCAGGGGGAGGCCGCAGACCTCAGGGTAAGAGGGCAGAGCCCAACCTCAGGCCTTGGGGGAGAGGTCCCAGACCTCAGGCTGTGGGGGAGAGAGCCCCTACTTCAACCCCGAGGATGAGAGGAGAGGCCGGGCAGGCGGAGGCCCGGGGCTTCAGGAAAGCTCGGTCTGGCCAAGCCCTCTGGGAGGGTAAGGCAAGTGGACACCGGCTTTATCAGGCATAGAGCGTGGGGCCCAGCCCAGGGACACCCCTTCACCACCCCAGGCTGCTGTGGAGCTGCCTGGGCCTGGCGCTCCTGCAAGCAGCCCGGAGGGTTAACGCCCCAGCTCTCCTCCCTCCCTGGGCCTTTGACCCTCCCGGCTCCTCCCCTGCCCTCCAATGACACCTTTGGCCGGTGGCGTCATTATTGGGTCGTCCCCGTGCAGACCTGGCTGGAGGCTGGGGCCTGGTCCGGCTGCCATGTTCTCCCTCCGTTCCTGGCTCCCCAGCCTCCCCTCCCTGGAGTGGGGCTGCAGCCTCCTGGACAGCCTCCTGCAAGGTGAGCCCCTCCTCCGTGCCACCTGGCCCGCACCCCCATGCGTCCCCTCCCTCCCTCCCTCCCAGCCCACACCTGCTGCCTCCCGCCCCCTGCAGGCCTCGTGGGGGCCTTCGGCGTCTCCGTCCTGAGCAGCCTCCTGAAAGTCTACTTTTTTGTGGGCTGTGCCAAGTGAGTGCCCACGCCCCATCCCACTGGAGTCCCTCCACCCTCCTCCCTGGCCTCCTCCCTGGGCCTCGAAACCCTTCCTGAGGCCCGGGAGGGTGGCCTTGCTCCTCTGCCCACTCTCCCCCACAGTGACCCCAAGCGGCAGTCCGAAAAGGAGCGGCTGCGGGCCCCATGGGCCTGGCTGGAGACCCTGCACCTGGCCGGGCTGGCCCTGCTCCTGACGGCGGTGGGGTCCCGGGTGGCCGCCCTGGTGGTGCTCGAGTTCTCCCTCCGGGCTGTGTCCACACTGCTGTCTTTGGGCAAGGTGAGGCGGGGGGCCCTGCAGGCCCTCGTGTCCCCCCTAGAACAGGGAAGCTGGGCCCCCGTTTCCCTACATGGAGAAGAGGCTGCGGGTGGTTCCCTGGGGTTTTGACGGCCCAGGTCCCAGTCCCAAGCACACCGGGACAGTTCCGTGACCTGAGCTTCCCGCGTGCCAGGCCCTGCACTAAGTACTCTGAGGCTTCGTCTGGTTTGATGCTCGAGGCCAGGGGTCGCTGTGACCCTCATCGGCTCATCCGTGGCCAACATCCAGCGTCAGATGTGACAGCAGCTCTTGGAGGCTGGGACGCGGGCGAGAGGAAGGGTCCCGCCGGGGCTCGGCCTGAACCAACAGGCTCTCTTGGGGAATGGTCCCAAGGTCCCTGGGGGCTCTGGCCTCCCACAGAGTGGCACCTTTGCCACCTGCCGGCCACCCTCCTCCTGTCCGCCCCAGCAGGGCTCCGGGAGCGCGGAGCGGCTGCAGCTGTTCCTGCTGAGCCAGTTCTCGCTGGGCTGCGGGCTGGCCTGCGCCCTGAGCGTCCTGCAGGAGGGCGCCCCGCACAGCACCCTCAACCTGCTGCTGAGCCTCGGGCTGGCCGCGCTGCTCAGCTCCGGCGCCCGGCGCCTCCAGCACCACGTCTGCCGCCTCTACGAGCTGCACAGCGCCCAGCGCTACTGCGGGGTCTGCCTGGGCCTGCTGGCGGGGGCTCACGGCCTTCCCCGGCTGCTGGGCCGCGCCCTGGCCCTGGCCTTTGCCGTGGGCGACCTGGCGGCCATGGTCCTCATCAACCAGGACTTCCTGAGCACCTCGGAGGCCGTGCGCTTCTGGACCCCACTCACCATCTGCTACACGCTGCTGGTCATCCACATGCAGGGTGAGGGCCCGGGGCGGGTTCCTCTGATTGTAGGCACAGCCCCCTGTCTGGCCCAGCCGCGGGCCCAGCCCTGTCATCCCAGGGCACCGACCCAGGGGCAGAAGGTGCACAGGCCACTCTGGGCAGATTCAGCCTTCAGCCTGCTGGGGGAGCCCCAAGGAGCCAGGGCCTGGTTTGGTCTCCAAAGCTGGGCAGGGCCCTCTGAGAGGTGAGGCTGAGGGGGACTGTGGGCCACCTGTGCCAAAGCCCAGAGTGAGGGAGGGCACCGCACCATCGAACCTTGGACAGAAGTCCAGTGCAGCTGTCACCCAAAGGCACTGGGAAGCGGTGAGGCTGGCCAGTTTTTTTCTTTTTGCTAACAGTTGCTGAGACTGGCCTCAAACTTGCTATCCTCCTGCCTCAGCCTCCCGAGTGGCTGGATTATAAGTGTGTGCCACCACATCCAGCCTGCTCTGTTTCCTTTTATGTTGGTTCCCAGGATGGAGCTCTGGGGCCCTTAACTACTGAGCCACATTCCCAGCCCCGTTTTGTATTTTATGTTTCACTGAGTTGCTTAGCCCCTCGTGGCTGAGGCTGCCTTTGAACTCGAAATCCTTCTGCCTCGGGCTCCTGAGCTGTTGGGATTACAGGCGTGCTGAGGTTCTTAAGAGCCTAACTGAAGGCCCCGGCCAGCCAGGTTGGGCTGTCTGCTGAGAGACGGCTGCAGGGTTCCCGCAGGGGAGAGTGCTATGGTCTGATCTGGTCTCTAGGGAAGAGCCCTGGCTGAAGAATAGAGATAGTATAGGAAAGGCAGGGGGAGGGAGGTGTTCAGGCAGCGAGAACTGCAAGTGCAAAGGCCCTGGGGTGGGAATAAGCCTGGCATACTCCATGAACTAAAAGGAAGCCAGGATGGTTGGGGTAGTGAGCAGGATCAAGTTAGAGACACGGTGACGTTGGGAGTGGGCTCAGGCCAAATCAGGCAGGATCTGGTAAGGCCCAGGGCTGGGTTTGGATTTTCAAATGCAGAAGAAAGTCCTGAGAAGGTTGTAAATAGAGGGATGATTTCGTCTCCTGGACATGTTTAGAAGGTCACTTTAGCAGGTCGGTAGACACTGGATTGTAGGGGCAGGGACAGAAGCCGAAGGACGGGGGGCGTAACTCGGTGGCAGGGCGCTTGCCAAGCATGCAGGAGACCCTGAGTTCCATCCTCAGCCCCAAGGAAAAAAAGCACAGGAGCCCTGGGAGGGGCTGCCTTGGGAGGTGGCTGGGACCTGGGACCCGGAGGAGCCGTGGGAGTTGGGGACGTGTGGAGGACTGGGCTTGCTGAAGGACCAGATGAGGAGGCTGTGTGGGAAAGAGAATCGGGTCAGCCCCACATCTGCCTGGCTCTGTCCTGGGCCAGTGGGAGGCCTGCAGGTGAACGGGCAGCCCTGGCCGGCGTGCCCAGCACCCCGTGGGTGCTCAGAGAGAGGGGTGGGGGGGGGCAGCAAGGGGAGGCGAGAGCTGAGAGGCCCATGTGGCTCCAGCGGGACGTCTGAGTGGGGCCTGGTGACAGGTGCGCCAGGCGGTGACAGGTGCGCCCCTTCCGCAGAGGAGCAGCGGCAGCAGCGCTTCAGCCTGCAGAGCCAGGTGCAGACGGTGCTGGTGCGCATGGGCGGCCTCTTCGTGCTGCTGCTGACCGTGGGCCGCTGGATGGACCTCCTGGGCATCCTTGTCGCCCTGCTGGGCGAGCTCTGGTGCCTGGTGGGCGTCCGCGCCCTGCTTGACCTTTGCCAGATCCAGGTGGGCCCCATGCACCCCGGGTCCCCCAGGCCCGAGCGCCTTGCCCCACACAGTCCCTGGCGCCTCCAGAGGCCCAAGTTGAAAGACAGCCAGGGTGACCTCTCGGTGGAGGGCGGAGGGAGCTGAGATCTCTCCTGCCCCATCAGTCCGTGCCAGCCTGAGCCGTCCCCTAGGTCACTAGGAACGCCCACTGCCCGCAGCAGCCTGCACTCAGAGGCCCCAGGGGAGGAGGGTCTGAGGCCCCCAGGGGGAGGGAAAGTGGGTGGCCTCTTGATCCCCTCCCCCGCCTTCCCCAGGGCTTTCCCTCCCAGAGGCCTTCTGCAGCAGCTCCCAGCCGGCCCCTGCCCTCCACACCCGCAGGCTCCCAGAAGACCGACCCCTCCTGACCTGCCTCCGGGAGGACTTGGAGCCTGGCTCAGGCCCGCAGGGGCTGACCAGCAAGGACTGACCTTGGGACACTGCCTGGAGACACAGCCACAGGGCTGGCCGCCACCTGGGCCTTGCCCCCACCCCCTGGAGGAAGGGGAGGGTTGGGGGATGGGGGCCCTGAGTTAATCCTTCTCTGATGGGCAGGACTGACTTCTTTCGCAGGGCTGGGAGGATGGGGGCCAGCCGCCTCCTCAGGTTGGTTTACCCCTTTACCCCTCCATGAACAATAAAGATGGTTTTCTTTTTTAAAAAATTCTTTCAGTTGCACATGAACACAGTACCTTTGCTTTACTCATTTATTTTTATGTGGCCGTGAGGATCGAACCCAGGGCCTCGCCTGTGCTAGGTGAGCGCTCTACCTGTGAGCCACACCCCCAGCCCCTAAATATGATTTTCTTAAAGTGCTCAGAATCACAAAGACACAGAAAGGGAAAGAGGTTTTCAGAAGCCACACAGCAATTCTGTTGGAGTCCTGGAGCAGGCTCCTCAGGGCTGGCTCAGGCTCCGTGTGTTCCTGGGGAACAGAGCGCTCAGGGGTGGCGTGGAGGGTGTAGTATTGAGGTGGCTGAGGAGGTGGGAGGCTGGACACATAGTCTGGCCACCCGCCTGCAGTCTTAGGTGGACACTGTCCCATCCCACACTGAGAACCAGCTGGAGAGGGCATGTAAGGCCTCTCGTGCTCTTGGGTGCCCTGGATACAGCCTGCCCTGAATCCCAAGACTGTATGAGACCATGAGGATCCTTCCCATCTCATTCCTGTTCAGGGCCCAGATCAAGGAGACCAACGCCCTGGCACAGCTCCTCTGCCTGCCTTCGTGTGGCGCCCTCTGAGCCTGTGGGAAGAATTACGACCAGGTGTGGGGGCTTGCCTCCAGCTGAGTCCTTTCGTTATCCCCTTTCATTTTGACCTCAACGGCAAGAGGCCATAACTGTTAGCTCTTTTTACAGATTTAGAAGCCAAGGCCCAGAGAGGTTAAAGAACCTGCTCAAGGGCACACAGGAGGGAGTAAGCTTCAGGATTTGAATGCAGGCAGTCTGTCTCCAGGGCTCAAGTGCTTTGTGGGTTCCTGGCTCCCTCTTTTGGTTGGAGATGTGGGATCCAGGAAGCGGACAGGGCCAGCCCGCTCTTGGAAGGGGGTTCTGGCTACCTTTTGTCCAGGGCAGCCTGAGGCCCCTGGAGGGGCAGGACATCCAGCCCACAGGGTGATTGGGTTTCTGGGGGATCAAGGGCCCCAACTCAGGGTCCTGAGGAACCCCACTGCCATCAGCCTCCACCCACGGGTGGGAGAGTCAAGGTCGTCTGGGCTGGGCAGGGAGGACTGAAACCTGGAGAAGGTACCAGAGGACTCCAGGCTCCGAGGGGGAAAGTCCTCTCCGCAAAACCCCCGTGGCCACCTGTCGGCTGCTGCTTGGGAGCAGGTGGGGGGTGGCCTTGATTCTCCACTCCGCACCCCAGGGTGGGGATTCAGGACAGGCTATACCCAGGGCTGGACCCGGAGGTTTCCACCTGTTCCCCCATGAATGGCCCCCCTCGGACAGCTCTGGCACAACCCTCCCCCAGGACAGGGTGTGGCCGTGGGGAGGGTGGGTAGTGCCTGTGGAAGCCCCTCCCCCAGGACAGAACCCAGAGCCCCCTTCCCTCTGGGCAGGAAACCAGGCCTCTAGGCGGAAATGGCTCAGCTGGGTGGGTGCAGGGCCAGCCCCCGCCAAGCCCCGACTGGACTCTGGGCTCAACCAGGGCGGGTGTTTTTGCTGGAAGGTGACCCAGTCTCTTAGGCCCTGGCACAGACTGGGACCCATTGGGGACAGGGTTTGGGGGGTGGCGACTGGACCCAGAAGTCTTCTCCCTTTTATGGGCACAGAGACTGTTTTCCAAACAAAGCCATCTGAGCTTTAGACCCTCGTCAGACACAAAATAACTCTCACAGAATAATTTGATAAGAAAAGAATTCTATTCCAGCCTCGGGTCCCAAGTTTTCGGGAGGCGTTTAGCAAATCTGCACACCAAATGAAGAAAAGATGGCCTTAGGGCAATCGGAACGCAGGGTCTGGGTGGAGCCCCAGGGGCAGACTGGTTCTCCCCCCAGGGACCCCGGGGCTCTGGCTCTCAGTGGGGTGATCCTTCTGTAACAGGCAGGGCCCGGGGTTCCCCTCCCAGATGGCAGAGATAAAGACGAGGTGCGAGGCCAGGGTCCCCAGTCCCTGCTGAGAGGAGGTGGTGCCTGCTGTGGGCTGGGACTGGGTGAGCTGGCCTGCCCCTCCTGAGACCCCCGGGGGTCTTCTGAGCTATGCACTGCCCCCGGGGTCCTGCGTTCCTTCACTTACCCCTTCAGTCAGTGGCTGCTGGGCAGCTGTGTGGCCAGAACGCTGAGGTGATGGATGGACCACTGGATGGACCTCCTGGGCACAGCCCTGGCCTCACGGAGGTCCCCCTGCAAGGACAGAAACAAGGTGACAGCAAGTGGTAACTAGAACTGCTGGAGAGGCCTCAAGCTGGGTAAGGGGTCAGGGTGCGTGGCGGGTGCCAGGCTGTCTCTGTTACGCATGTTGTGTAACAAATAGCCCCAGAAATCCAGAAGCAAAACATTGGACACTTTATTGTCTTGCTTTTTCTTTGGCTCAGGAATCTGGGTACAGCTCAGCTGGACCGTCTGGCTCAGAGTTTCTCACCCACGTTTGCACTCAGGGGTCAGCTGGAGCTGCAGTGCCATCAAGGCTGGGGACTCCCTGCAATTCCTTGTCCCAGAACATGGCAGCTGGATTCCCTCAGGGATAACCCAATACTGGCAGTGCATCCCAGTGTCTTTGCCATATTCTAAGTCAGTCTGGTCTCCATCATCCTCTGAACTGCCACACGGTGAATCCCAGGAGGTAGGGCCTGGGGACAGTTCAGAAGCTGCCTTCCTTGGAGGGCCGCTTTGAGGCGAGGAGGATATCTGTGCGGAGCGTGGGAGCGAGCCAGGCAAGAAACCGTCAAGACTGTCAAGGGCTGAGGGATCAGCATGAGCAAAGGCCCTGGGGCAGGAGCAGCGCTGGAGCATTATAGAAGCCTCACAGAGGACCCGGTTGCAGGAGGGCAGGGCCAGACATAGCCAGGGTTGGGATTTTTTTCCCCATGTTGGGAGCCAGGGGAGGGTTTAATACTCGGAAGTGACTAAATCTGATGCACACTTTCAAAGGATTCCTCTCAAAGCTGCTTTTGGAATAGACAGTTTGGAAACCAGTCTGGGAGCAACTGGAATCACCCGGGTGAGATGATAGGTTCACAGGCCAAGGGGGTGGGCTGAAGCCCGCGGGGGTCTTAGGACTCCAGAGCGCTCTGAGGGACTGGGAAGGGTTGGCGTGGCTGTCACTGAGGTGGGCAAATCCATCTTAGGGACCCCTTTAGGAAAAATAATATGAAACTCTTCTGAAAAGGGATATTTATTTGGAATGAGAAAGGAAAGCACAATTAATTATTGGAGACTCAGAGATCTGAGTCCGTCCTCCTGACATCTCTCTGGGATGTTTGCCAGGAACATTTCAAGGAGATGCTTCCCGAGCAGAACTCGGCCTCCCTCCTTGCCTACAACACTCCATAGCTCCCAGCAGCCCCCAGTCCTCACAGGAGCCAGGACAGCCTGAGCCTGGGTCTCATTAGCTTCTCAGTCAGGTCACCCTGGGGTAAGAGAGAAGTGAGAGGGCAACGGGCACCCCCAGGGGCCAGCCCGTCCTACTTTTGGAAGGAGGTGTCTCAGGGATTGGGGGTGGGGGTGGATATTACTGGGAGCAGAGGTTCCCAAGAGGATGGGGCTCCAGGAGGGGGAGGCTGGGATTGGAACAGGGTCTCTGCCGAGGCAAATAACTGAGAACTGGGGTCTCTAGGACCCTCCCATGCGGCTGACACCAGAATTCTTTGCTCTCTGCGGCAGAGGGGCTCTGGCCCACGGGCCCACGTCAGGGAAGCCCCCCCAGTCCTGGGCCTCAGGGACCCTCCTGGCCCTCCAGCACTGTCACCGGCTCTGGAGCCTGTCCTGGCTCTGGACAGAGGCCATGGGAATCCCAGCCTCCCAGAGCTGGCTCAGCCCCCAGCCCGGAGGGGATTAAGGCCCAGACACTGGTCACTGCCAGGTCTGGGGAAGCCGGGGGTCCTGCTGGGTGGGCAGGGGGACAAGGGCCTGGGGCCTGGCGGGGGGAGGCCAGGTCACATCCCCCTGGGCTTTTGAACACTTCCCTACAAACTTGGCCCCGTAGGTAAAGAAAGGGGCCTGGACTTGGACAAAGCGCACTCACTGGTGGACGTGGCCTTGAGCCGGTCACTCTGTGCCCCGGGTCCCCCTTTGCTGAGATACTGGAGAAGATGAGGAGGTAGGAGGTAGGATACTAGGCCTGGACCCTGACCAGGGCCTCTAGAGCCCACAGTGGACACAACTCGGCTTCGGCACGCCCTTCTGAGGGGAAGGGCCAGGAGGCACTTTGAGGAAGGAGAACCTGCCCAGGCGGGAGGCAGAGGCAGGGGCCACATCAGAGGGGACAGGGAGGAAGAGGCCAGACCTCCCCTCTCCACCTCCCCCAGGCTTCTCCGGGGGGGGGGGGGACAGCTGAGTCCCTGGCCAACTCCCCGTCAGGAATTGCTTTTATTCCTTTTCTTTTTTGCACTGGGAAGGGATCCGGGGGCGCTCCCCACTGAGCCACGTCCCCAGCCCTTTTTATTTTGTATTTGAAGACGGGGTCTCACTACATCGCCGAGGCTGGCCTTGAACTTGCCCTCCTCCTGCCTCAGCCTGGCCACCCTGGAGGAGCGCTCTCCCGGCGGGAGGACCCGGCCTTGTCCCCGGCCTCGCAGGGAACGGATGCTGGTCTGCCTCCCCAGGACAAAGCCGCGGTTGAGGCGGAGCAGGAGCAAGTGACTTCCTCAAGGTCGTGGGTCACAGGAGATGGGGGACTGCAGCTCCAACCCTCGGTTCCTGTGTCCAGATGAAAAAACCCTCAGAGTCAGACGCAAAAAGCCAAGTGAGAGAATTTATTCTGAGGGAAAGGTGAAGGAGGCCGCAAGCCAAGAGCTCGAGAGAGGGACTGAGCAGGGGGACCTCCAAGCAGAGACGAGCGGGAAACAGCGCTGCGTCCCCGTTTGCTGCTGGTGACCTGGCCAGGAGAGCCGGGCGCCCTCTGCCAGCCTCCTGAGTCACTAGTTTATCCCCTCCTTCAAGTCGGGCAGGGGGCTTTGACCCGAGCTGGTCCTCTTCACCACCATCAAGGTGGCCATCCCGTGGGGTGGGGGCTCCCTCCACAAGTCAGTCCCACACCAGCCTGGGCTGCTGCAGGATGGTCTCTCCTGAAATACACTCAGGAGCCCACCGCCCTCGATCCTGACCGTGGGATGACCTCGGGGGACCCTGCCAGGGCTGACCCATGGCCCTTTCTTTGTCTTTCTCCCTTTGTTTCCACCTGTTTGTTCTCAGGGTCAGGACCCTGGGGTTCACTAAAGGCAAATGGCGAGGCAGCGGCCTTGGGATGCAGCCGTGGGAGGTACAGAAGCCCCAAGCCCTCTAGAACCTTCAGTAGACTCTTAAAAGTGGTGACGAGCTGGGCACACGATGGCACACACCTGTAATCTCAGCATGCAGGGAGGCCGAGGCAGGAGGATCCTGAGTTCAAAGCCAGCCTCAACAACGGTGGGGGAACTAAGCAACTCAGTGAGACCCTGTCTCTCAATAAAATACAAAATAGGGCTGGGGATGGGGCTCAGAGGTTGAGCGCCCCTGGATTCAATCCCTGGTACCCACCCCACCTCCCCCCAAAAAGCGATGATAGTGCAGAGTTTGAGCCTGGCGCAGTGGCACACACACAGAGTCCCTGCGACTTGGGAGGCAGAGGCAGGAGGATTGCAAGTTCGAGGTCACCCTCAACAGCTGAGTGAGGCCCTGTCTCAAAATAAAAAAACAAAAAGGCCTAAGGATGGAGCTCAGCGGTCCAGCACCCTGGTTCCCTCTCCAGGCCTGGAAAAAAAGAATCCTCACAAGGAGGCCACAAGGCGCTGCTGGCCCTGGGCTGTGGGAGAAAGGGAGCTCAGAGGAAACGGCAGGAGTGGAATCCCTCAGGTCCTGATGGGTGCTCGGGGCCACCCTGTGGGAACTCCCGCTGTCCTGTCCTGCCGCAGCCCTGCCCAGCACAGGGCCCTGCCCACAGGGGTGCTCAGGACTGCCCTGAGGCCTAGCAGGCAGGCTGCAGGACGGAGGCCACAGGGGAGCCGGGAGCCGGGGCCCACCCTGCCACACTCTCCACCCCCTGCACTTCCCGCAACAGCTTGGGCTGGCGGCTCCCTCTGATGGCAGAGAAGCCTGCCCACGGCAGAGTGGAGGCTTCCTGGGGTCTCCTGCCCTGGGTGGGGGGGGTGAACTAAAGCTCCAGACACAGGCTAGAGCGAAGCGGGAATCCTCAGCGCTGTGGGCCAGACCCGGGTGTGCCCTTTCCTCCCTGTGTCCCCACCTTTCTGTAAAGGGAAGCCTGCACCCACCGCCCGCTGCCCAGGTCACAGGTAGGAAACGCCTCCCCAGGGAGGGACAGAACGTCCAAGGCCACAGTCAGCACCAGAGCTGTTCAGCCAGGACGGACCTCAAAGCTCTTGTCCTCCCTCCCTCCCTGGCTCCTACCCATCTCAGGTTAAGTGCCACCTCCTCAGAGAGACCCTCGCCCCATCCCGCCCATTTTTCTCTCTCAGTCCCTTCCTTCACGGCACAGATTAATCGGCAATTCTGATATTAATTCCCTTTACAGCCGCCATCTCCCCCCCTCCCTCTAAGTTCTGTGGCTACAGGACTGATGGCATCTGGATTGGTTCCCCTGGCTCCTGACTCATCTCCCCCATGCAGGAAGTGCCCAGCCAGTGTCCATGGTCAAAGCCCTCCACTGTGGACGGCAGGGGCCGAACGCCCCGCAGCCCCGATGGTAGCAAACCTCCCCGCTGCCCTGGACCTTGTCCCTCAGCCTCTCTCCCACCCGCTTCCTGCCACCCAGGGTCTCAACACTAGTGGAAGACCGAGGCCCTTGCCTGCTGGGGCATCTGGGTTGGCAGAAGGCTGGTCAGAACCCGGCCGGGAGGGAGGAGGGAGAGGGTTCTCGGAGCTGGCAGACAAAGGGCGTGTTTTCTGCCCAGCGCACTTCCTGGGTTTCCATTGCAGGAAGTCTGGCACCTGCCTATCGGTGACACTCATCCTGGGGCTGGTGTGGGAGCCTTAGCTTGGGCGGTCCCCTGTATCTGGAGCAGCAGCTGAGGGAGGTGGCCAGGGGTGCTGGGCAGCTGGTGAGCAGCGCAGCTGCGTCCCACACTCCCCTCAGTGGTCTAGAGGGGACACAGGGACACGCGGGGACACCCTAGACTGAGTCACTGAGGCCTTACGAAAGCCCCCGAGTCAACCCTTCAGGGCCTCAATGTCCAATTTGGCAGTGCAGGTGACGTAGCTCTAGGGAATGCCACCTCCCCTGTGACCTGACTGAAACCGGCCTCCGGGTCACCCAGCGCTGGAAGAAGGGGTTCTGCAGCAGAAGTGTCTGAAACCCTGGGTGCTGCCTCCCATCCCTGCCTTCAGTGGCTCCTCCTTCCTTCAGCGGAGGAGGCTGGGACTCCTAACAGTGCTACAGAGTGGCCGCCTTGCCAGGTCGGAAGGAGCCACAGGCCATAGGTGGCCTCATCTGCAGTGGGTAGCTCTCATCACCTTGCGTGGCCTGTCTCGCACCCCAGAACCCGCGGAGCAGCGTGCCTAGGGGCACCCACGCTCTGTTTGAATCCAGCTCTGCTTGGCCTTGAGCCTCCGGGGCGTCAGTCCTGCAGGAATCCTCAGCCCCCAGGGCTGGGGGGGTTGAAATGAGAGCCCTGTCCCTGGGCACACGGGACCTCTGTAAACGGCAGCTACTGTTGGTCACGGCCTTTGTTGTTGCAGAGGCTGTGAGGATCCAATGGGAAAGGGTGACAGGGGTGGCTCTCGGGGGCGAGGGCTCGGGGAGGAAGGAAACAGGCACCCAGGCAAACCCCTCCTGAATTCCATCCTGTGAGCCCCTCAGTGGTTGCCCCAGCTGTGGGGCGCAGAAGAGAGCCAGGACCTGCCTGGACACCCCAGATGGCACTGCGTCCGGCCCTCCCCTGGCCTCCACCACTGTGGGTTTTAATCAAGAGAACAATCTGTTTGTCTCTGAATCAGACTCGGATTCCTTTTCCCAGCAATGTTCTCTGGCCTCCAGGGACCAGAGGCCCATCCCCGCCCCACGGGCCCCAGAGCCTAGGCTGCTCCCCCCCCCCACCTCATTCTATCTGTTCTGCCTGGCGGGTGGGAACTGGAAGGTGCAGGGAGGGTCAGTGGCCTGGTGCAGGGTAGCCAACCAGGTAAGCTGATTGCCAGCTGGGCCCTGCCTCTCCCACCTATCCACCCCACCCCTCCAGGACCCTGGGACCCACCCGCAGGGGGATTAAGGGATCCAGACCAGCAGTGACAGCTGGAGACAGCAAACCAGACAGCTCCTCTGGAGACTCAGAGCCCCCTCCTCCCCAAGGCATTTCCTGAAAAAAGTCCCAAACCCAGCATATATTGAGCACTGACTGTGTGCTCCTCACTGGCTTTGAGCCTTTTATCCCTAGGCCTTGCCGCAGGGATAGCCAGAGGGACATTCCCGTGAAGACCCTGAGGCTCAGCGAGATGGCCTGCCGCCCAGGGATGTTTAGGGAATGGGTCAGTAACTTAAGTCTGACTCTTAAGTCCCTGGCGGAGCACCATCCCCCAGCAGATCGGGCAGGTGGGGTGGTCAACCAGGGTGACCCTGGGGAGGGGGAGAGTAAGGACCACTCAGGGTGCACAAAGGAGGGGGACGGGGGAGGACGCCACCCCCGGGCCTGGGCGCAGGGGACGCGGAGGAGTGGTCGCGGGAACAAAGGGAGGGGGAGGGG